CTCAGAGCTCCCACCCAGAGTCTTCATTCTGAGAACTAATCAGCATTTGTGTTGACACTTGTTTGACTTTGAACCACTAAGTTTATGTGTTAGACAGTAAACTCTTGCAGAAATAATACTACAATAACAGCTGAGGGCTGCAAGTACAGAAAAACATACATTCAAATATGATAAAGCAATATGCATACAACAAAAATAGAACTTCTTAATTTGAACTGCAGAATTATGTGATCAGGATCAGAGTATGATTATTTCATCATGTATTTCCACTGAAATTAAAATATAGACTGAATAGAAAGATCGGGGTCTCCTCTTCCACCCACTTCCGAGAAATTAAGCCGAAAAACTCTGGATACCAAAGCTGCCGTCTTGCGCATTTGGAGCCAGACTGTGCATTAGTGATCGGGGGATGGAGCAGTGGTAGCGCGGTCTTGCCGATATACATGCACTCACATATAAGAGATGGGCTTCATGATCTACACTGCAGCTAGCCAGCAGGTGGCGAGCAAAGTGATTTGGCTTCACTTTAGGGAAGCCGTCATGCCATCCATCTTTATGCACAGTCTATATAGTAGAAAGTAAATATGAGATAATATTGAATTATTTTTCTCTGTCTGCTGCTCACATACAAACATTTAATTCATCAGGAGACATAATGACATTCATCATTATGTCATAAATTTCATGTAAAGTGATTTGTTGCACAGTCAAGAATTTTTCACCGGCTCTGTTCATGGTGCTCTTTTCTTTTTTCCGTAGTTATGGCAGCAAACATTGCAGCTCTGTTTATTAATAAGACTCTGGAAATGTAAAACATGTCACCTCTGGAACTCTGACTGTTAAGGAAATTGAATGTGATGATTTTACTCAGCTGGCTCCACGTTGAATTGTGTCTATTTGTGAAATAATAAGACAGAGTATGAGCTGATATGTGTCTAGATTTGACTTATACTGTGTTTATAGTGATTCCACCCTTACCCATCTCTCCATTTGCCACTATTGTGTCCATGCAGGCTGTGATAACGTGGTGATCCTCTGGAACGTGGCTCGTGGGGAGGCGGTGGTGAGGATCGACAGCATCCACCATGACCTCATCTACAGCGCCTGCTGGAACAGGGACGGCTCCAGGATCCTGACCTCCTGCAAAGACAAGACCATACGTGTGCTGGACCCACGCAAGGGCACCGTCCTCTTTGTAGGTTTCACTGTAGAGCAGCTGATCTGGGCTGAATGTGTAAAAGATCAGATAATATTGAAAAATACCAATCACCATTTCCAATCATTGATATATTTTTTTTTCTGATGATGAAACAGATGATCTCATTTTAACAACTGGAAGCAGTACATGTTTGGATGTTTGACAATTGTTCTTAAAAAACTTTTAATCACTGATTTACTTTATATTAATATTTTCAATATCAGTTGACGTAATAATATCACACTTTTAGTTTAGTTTAGTTTAGTTTAGTTTTTTGGTTTATATTTTGTGAATCAGTTGATGAAATGGTCTATTGTAAAAATAGCTCATAATGGGTTTGTCCCTCTGCTTCTCTATGTGTAGAAATGTGCACTTTGATTTCTGTGTAAAACTGCATGAATTTTGAGTATGAAAGTGAATGATTATATAATTAATATATAATATTTTCTTAATATTTACTATATAAGAAGTAATTTTGTCATTTACTTTCGTTTGACTGTTTGTTTCTAAAATGTCAAAATAGTAATTACTTTTTTTTTGCTTTCATAGTTTTAACTATTATTATTATTGTTATCATTATTATCATTATTACAGTTGTCAGGGCCCTAATAGAAACAATGAGTGGAGATGAATTGGACTCTGCCTCTCACATCAACAGGAGAAAGAGAAGCCTCATGAGGGCTCCAGGCCTATCAGGGCGGTGTTCGTGTCCGACGGCAAGATCCTCAGTACGGGCTTCAGTCGTGTGAGTGAGAGGCAGGTGGCGCTGTGGGATCCGGTGAGTGTCAAAACCTAAATATCAGTATTCCTAAAAAAATGTTTATAAAAATATTAGGTTTCACATTAATGGATCAGATAGATTAGTATAAATGTGAGATTTGGTGCAAGTTTTGGGAAATTTCACAGTTTAGTTTCACAGTCTTACTTTCTCAGAGTCAGAAACCGATAAAAGCCTTATATTAGCAAAAAAAAGGAGTGTCAATTGGTTTTTTTAAAGTTTTTAAGTAATTGCCAGAAATTTAAAGTTCAACCTCGTTGTTTGTGTGCTGGAGGTTCCAAGTTGTGATGTGTCAAAATCTGACTCATTCACTTGATAAATTCCACACATACATTATCAAAGTAACGAGCCAAAATGCTTCTATGATCAGACTTTAGATCGTAGATATGGTGAGAAAATATCTCCAGTTGTACTTTATGGTGGATTCAGACTGATAATTATTTGTCTCAGCAGTTACTTATAATGTGTACATCTCTGTTTCACAACAGCCATATTACAGCATTAAGGGCTGTGTTGCTATGCAATATCCCACATGAAGCTCAATTAAATAAATCCTTGGTTTACCTGCAGATTGCCTGAGCCTTACTTGTTTTTATATGGGATATTGGATTAAATGTGATTTGATGACTAATTGTGTATGTGAATGTCTTTTCACAGAAGAACTTCAGTGAGCCGCTGACCCTGCAGGAGCTGGACACCAGCAGCGGTGTCCTTATGCCGTATTTTGACCCGGACACTGGCATCGTCTACCTCTGTGGCAAGGTTAGCTTTAGATGATGACATGAGGCTCTCACTCTGTGGCTGTCTCACCCAAACGGACACACACGGCTGACTTATTTGTCATGTCTTCGTCACAGGGGGACAGCAGCATCCGATACTTTGAGGTAACGGACGAAGCTCCTTATGTTCACTACCTCTCCATGTACAGCAGCAAGGAGGGCCAGAAGGGAATGGGATACATGGCCAAGAGAGGTCTGGAGGTCACCAAATGTGAAATTGCCAGGTTTGTGTGTCTTGAGTTTTGAGGTGTGTTGGCTGCATGACTCTCTGTCTGTCAGTTAGCTGATGCAACCTGAAATATCCCAACATCAACTGCACGTGTTGTCACAGGATCTTGTACAGACGGTCATAGTCACCAGAGGAGGTATTGTGATGATTGTGGTGATCCCCCACCCCGCCCAAGGTGGATTTCGTGATCCCTCAACATTTCAACTAGCACCTTGAAATTTGCCAATTTCTATGGTTTATGACCTTCAAAACAAATCAGGCAAACCCTGCAGTTAATACCAATGAAACTACACTGGTAACACATGGTCAATCAGTTACAGTGTTTTAGAATTAGTCTTTGTGAGATACAATGCTAATTTTAGTGTTTAGCTCAATTAAGAAGTGGCAAGAGATTGAATCAATTCTTGTGGCAAACGCTGTTGTTACAATTAGACATTTTCATAATGATAATCAAAGTTAGATATTTTTTCAGTCCCTCAGTCTACTGCTTTGCATGACTGTAGACTCCTAGTGTTTTTTATTGTGTTTAGTATTTGGAAGTTAACGTTCACTTCCTCTTGAAGTTGTGAACAACCAGAACCTGATATGAACCAATATTTCCACCATCAGGTTCTACAAACTCCATGAGAGGAAATGTGAGCCCATAGTCATGACGGTGCCACGCAAGGTAAAGTTTGAATCAAGTGTTAACAAAGCAAAGTTAGTCCAGATTCATCTCAGCATTTCTGTGTTTTTTAACTGTCTGTCTCCACCTGCATAGTCTGACCTGTTCCAGGAGGATCTGTACCCAGACACCATCGGCCCTGAGCCTGCGGTTGAAGCCGACGAGTGGTTTCAAGGGAAGAATGCCGAGCCTATTCTGATATCCCTAAAGGATGGGTTTGCAACAACCACCAAGGCCAAGGAGTTCAAAGTTCACAAGACTCTCCTGAAGACCACGAGTGGTACTGCTGTGGCTCAACAGGAAAACAGCGGGGTGAGGCTTTTAAAACCAAACTCCATCTTATTATTAAGGTCAAACTGTTTTATGTAAAGTATCCACTGGATTTTAAATGAAACATAGAATTTATTGCATTCTTACTGATTAAACTACAAATATTATATATATAATATAATATAAGGTTGTTTAATCTGTCCAAATTAAATTTATGTATTGTAAGATAAGAATGATAGAAAAAGAAATTTCTGTATAATGAGTACTTTGATAATTAAGTACTGATAATAATGTTTTCATTGTTGTTTGTGAGCAGGATTACGTAAAAACCACTGAATTAATGGTGAACATGGGCCAGGAAATATTCCTTCACTTTTTGGGCAGTGTCAGGATTTTTTTGTCTCTCTTTAAAATTGTGAGATGGAGGGTGTTTTTTTACATCTTCCCCAGTTTCCCAGGAAATAATTCATAAATCTCGATGGCACGAGTGTGTGCAATTTGGTGCAGCTTGATTGAATTTTAAGTGACTGTTGGCCCTTGGCGGAGATTCCACTGAGTAACATTCTAGTTAAAACTAGGATATTGTTGCTTTTGTTGAACTTCATCCACCAACGATTAGCAGTAAATGTTTTCAGTGCTGTTGTCAATAGCTGGATATTTAGATGTCTTTACTTGTATGTGTCTAATGAGTCTCCATCACATCCCAACTTTGTCTGCTACTCAGGAGGTCCAGTCCTTGAGAAAGGAGGTGAAGGACCTCAAAGCAGCGATGGAGGAGCTGACCCAGCGTGTGAAGGAGCTGGAGAGCAAGAATTAAACTAGAGAAATAAATCCAGAAAGAAGCAGATGAACAAACAATGGGAGGGAGAAAACTGCTGTTACCTTCTGATTGCAGTGACACAAAGGGAGAGATTAGGGCAAGAAATGTTATTCATCATCCATTTTAAGGCCTTGAAGCTTGAATTTGTTTAATTGATTTTTTTTAAATTCCTTTTTTAATATATGCATTAAGTTTGAAATAAAATCTGTATTTCGACAATTCATTTTTGCCTTTTTTTTTAAACAGACACACCGAACACAAATTTGAATGAGGCAAACTTTTAATCATGTGTACTTACAATTTTACAAAACAAAAGGAGCAAAAACAAATGTCAAATAATATGCTGAGAAATGTCACAAGAATGTTTGTGTCGTCAGAGAAGTGCACACAGATGCTCCCTGAGGCCTCCTTCGGTGCCTTTGGTTAAAAACTATTTATACAGCTTTATGAATAATGATAAAGGAGGAACAGAAGAATGAAGACAAACACCGGAGGCGATGGTTGATCCAAACTATGTGTAAAACATGAGCCAGTAGTGCATCTAAAGGAGTCAATTCACTGTTATATCTTTAAATCTTGAGCTCAGAGCTGAGATTATCAGATCATCTTCTCACAAACACATTTTTATCTTCTCTAGATTTAGAGAGATTTCCACTTGTTTGGTTCATTTCAAGAAAATTATGAATTAAGAAAAGGTGAATTGGATAACTTTGATAATGTATATTTTGAAGCAGTAACCCAAACACCTTGTGTTTCATTTGTAATCTATGGCCTGTCCAGTATTTGTCTTCCATTTACAAAGTTTAAGCATAACCCAGCACCTAACAATAAAACAGCTTTAAAACTGAAGGCATACATTTGAATATGAAAGAAATGAACTGGAGCCAGTTATGATAAGAATTCAGTATATTTACACATTTACTCTGATTTTCCCCACTGGTGTCGTCTACTTTGCTCCTCCCCAGTCTTTCCCCAACTAAATCCCCCTCCCATCCTTTCTCTCAGACTCCAGTCCCTTTCATTAAAGGCCCTATACATAGTTTTTGGCAGGGGCAGAGGCACTGTTGCTGTAATACTTGGCGGTTCCCCCTGAACCACCTGATTTGGGCCTGCTGAAGCAGCACAGCAGACCTCCACCCAGGAGGAGCAGAATGCCGGCCGCCCAACCCACAAAGATGCACGCTCCCAGCTCCTTCCTTCCGGCATTCGTCATGGGACTGTTGAAATTTTGCACAGTGGTGTGTGCTGACCAGCTGACAGGGATGATCACCAGGAGACCGGCCAGCAGCAGGCCCACCCCAGCCACCAGGCTGATCTTGGGTTTGGCGTCCTCGTTCTCGATGCAGGTGGTGAAGTCTGCGCCACAGAACAGGATGAGGAGGCTGATGGAGCTGATCATGCAGGCGATGATGATCATGGCCCGAGCGGCTTGCTGCTCAGAGGGCAACACCAGCATGGAGTCGTAGTTCTTGCACTGCTGCTGGCCCGTGCTCTGCACCACACAGGTCATCCACAGGCCCTCCTGAGAGCTCTGCTCACACACACACACAAAAAGAGATCAGTCTCGTCATGTTAAGTGGTTAAGTATAACTTATGCTAAACTTTTGTTTACTTCTGCTCCACAACAGTTCAGACGGACATTACTTTTTACTTCATTTTATTATGGGTGCCTTGCCAGCTGGGGGCTCCGCCCCCAGCTGGCAATGCATTGCATGGGGCGAAGCCCCATGCAATGCATTGGCACTTATATTATTATTCCTCGGGTTTATTATTCTTATTTCTTCTTCCCAAAATTTCGTCCCGCTA